AGCTTGTCAGTGGTGACAGCTGAGACTTTTTGCTTAGATGCCTTGACAGTGCTTGTATTAAGCAGCCAGGGCCATACACTCCATTAAGTTTTTGTAAAATGAACTGTCTGCTACTTGCTGTCTCAGTGATACTGGCAGCATTTGTGAGCTATAATCCTCTCCAGCTGCAGGCTGCCCGAGTGAGTGCCTTCAGCCACCTGACAGGTAGTGAGTTGGGACGTTTTTAGTGGAGTCTTTGGGGCACAATATTTCCTTAGATAGACAAGATGGGATTCCACTGACAGCGGATGGTTTAAATGATGGTCAAAATATATTGTGGAAGACAACCAACTTCTGAAACGAAAACAGACAAAAAAGCATTGGGTTTTGATGCCCAAGCAATGGCCGTATGTAAATAACTGAAAGGGACCACTGTATGGGGACATAAGATGCTGTCTGTGTATCACTTAAATCTTGCGATGCTATTGCTCCGTATAACACTTACATCGCATTAGATATGTTTAAAAATACAGTGACTTTTAGAGTTGGGAATTTATTTTTATGGAAGAGAAATACCAATAGAGTTGAGTTACATCTATAACTGTAAATGTAGCCATTTATAGCCTGCTGATGAATAGCACTGAAGGTCTAGTTATTGAATTCTTCATTAAATATATGGAATAAATTTCAGAATGTGGTTCCCTTCCTTGATATCCCTGCTGTGCCAAGGTACTGTGTGGTAGCATGGTTGAACTTCTACCTGTAGCAGATGGTGTAACATTACAGATTCTCCAGTGATGCAGTTGCAATGCCTTGGTCTCTGGATACGTGGGTTAGGTCATTAATGTCTCTTAGTGACACTGTTGGAAAAGTTTAATTTTTGTTCACTTCCCAAAGGTGAAATGTGAATAACAGCTACTTCAAATTTTCTTTTGGAAAGTGTTTTTTAAACAAAGAAAATTTATACAAGTCTGGATTTAAAGGCATTTTCTGGATGTAGATTTGCTCTTGCACACACTTGTGTAAGCACACCAGTTATACTAAATAGTTCACTGAATATTATACTAAAATCAATAGATACTTCAGAAACTTGCTTTTGGTTTTGAAACAGTTTCAGCATAGAATGTAAATAATAAAAACAGAAACAGGGTTTTGGAAACTTTAAAAATTCTACTTGGTGTTTGAGTTGAACATATAACTTAAATCAATATTTTTTTATTCGCTGTATGATGTCTGTTCTGTTTTATTTGGGCACTGCAAGAGTTTTAAATTAGAGCAAAGGGCTTGTTAACAGCTGAGCGGCAATATAGAGGTGAAATGAAGGTGAGAGTCCAGTTGAAAATTCTGAGTTATTTCGATTTCCTTATAAATCTCAGTATCTTTTATTTTGCTACATTCGTTCTTACATAACTATGCAGTATATATTCACGTTATATACGTTATTGTAGGATGTGATTGATACTACGGTGCATGGTGCTTTTGTGAGCTGTGGTCCACACAAACCAGCTATGAGGATTTCAAGATGGTCAGTATATGCTATTGCATCTAAGACATTTCAGTGTCTCCATCAGGAATAAAGTTATTTTCAGAGCTTGGTAACTTAACTGTAAAAGTTTGTGCATCCTATTTTAAGCCTTAGCATGAAACTTCTCCCTGTAGGAGAACATAGGAATTTTTTTACATCTAATGCTATTTCCCCTTCTGATTGCAAAATGGAACTTGGCAGACTTATGCTTTAATATGTGGGTTATAACATGCGTTTTAGGCCACATATATGTGCTTGTATTTTTAAAATGTTAGGAGTGATGGAACCAATTTATTTAATGCGCTTCGTGTGGAAAAAGCACATACTGAATATTAAAAGACCTAGTCTTGGGAAAGTCTGAAAGAATGGGGAGCCACAGGCCAATAACTGGCTTAACACAAGGAAATGTGCACTGAAAAGGATGGATTGAGCAATTGAAGATGGGATTACAATATGATGAGTTGCAGCTGGTTCAGGAGAAAGACTAGCACTAAAGCTAAGCCTGATTCTTCAAAGCCTGCCAGAGGTTAGAAAAACGAGAACAAAACTTCTTGGCTGAAGTTACGAATGAGTTCTGTGGCAGCCTAGATGTGCAATCTAGATGCCCCGTGTTTGGGGGCAGGTTATATTTTGTTTCTCATTACAGTGTATATTCCTGCAGCTTGCAGAACGGATTTGTTTGAGTATAACTTCTTACATGAACAATATTATATTGACAATGGAGTTATTGCAACTACATGCATGTGCTACCGCAAGGCTGTGCTGCCCTGGCAGCACATAATAATGTGCTGTTACTGTCTGAGACAGCGAAGGCTTTGCTTTGGGTAATGGTAATGTCAAGTGTAAGTTATAGCTATAATTCAGAACAGATGTAGGTCCTAGGTCTGCACTGAAATCTGAGCAGTAGGAAACTCTCACTCCACCTACAGCCATTTAGTTTGGGACATGAGTCATGAAGATGGAGAAGGAACAAAGAGGGCTGTATCTGGATCCCTGTCTCCTCTCTGTCCCTCTGAGTATTAATTTGTAGTCAATTATCCTCTATGTGCTTGGTGCTCTTTTTCTTCCATTGACTTTAAAGGTGTCTATTTGTACGAGTGTTAGTGTGCAAGTTAAGTTTTGATCTCCTTCACTTTATACAGAAGTAACTCTTGATGCCAGGTTTCGTAAAATCTGGTTTTGTTCATGCTGAGATACTTGTATGCCAATATCCTTCTTGAAAGAATATTTTCATAGCAGGTGCTGATAATGGAAATACTGACATACCTGTACAAGGTATGGGCCCACATCAGTTTAATTAGAATTGGGACTAGGGAAAAAAAAATGCAAAAGATGCTTCTAAATTTAGAATTCAAGCCATGAAATGAAAAGACTTGAATTTCTTAATTTGGCAAGGAGTGAATTTCAACAGTAGTATAATATTCTGAGCTTGATGACAGAGATGTTTAAAAAGTGCTTCATTATAAATTGGAACAAGTGCTTTCCTATTGAGTGTATAATTGGACTGTTTCAAAATATTTTTTTCTATATTCTTAAATTGCCCTGTTCAGGCTTGCTTTCTTAATCTTTATGGAGTGATGTTTATTTTATTTTTCAAAGCAAGAATTGTATCACCTTTATATACAGACTCATGAAGTGTGATTATATTTTTCATTTTAGAAAAAAAATATGCTGGCTATTGGAAGTCTCTGAATAAATAAAAATTAGTTTGTACTTCTAAACACGTTGCTGAATTGCCCGGTAGTTTGTGATGTTGTTTTAAAAATTATTTTCCCCAATAATTTTTTTATTTCATGTACATGTGCTTTTCTCGCTCACTACATATTAGAGGTGAAACAGAAAACAAAAAGACTACAAATGAAAGACTACAGCCCTGGTAATGAAGGCTGGGTGTCACTATGTGATCAAGGTCTTGGTGATCAAAGCAAGGAATCTAGTGCAGGTGACTAAGTCCTGCCTGCCTCACATATATACTCAGAAATTACGTACCATATCCCAAAGAAATCCTTACGTTGCCTTAATTCTAGTATTTAAGGAGGAGGTTAGGTATATATTCTATGAGATACAATTTTCTGTGCTGCTTATTTACTTTTTCTGAACTCCTAAGTCCATAACTTAAACTTTGCAAGCATGAATCTGAGATGTGAAAATACCATACAAAATCACACAGTTCTGTGAAATAGTCTGAAGAAAAATGACCTGTTATTGTGACAAAATTAATGGAATATTGAGGAGTTGATGGCTCTTTTCCTTTGGCATAACTTGTGTTTAAGAAAAGAAAAAAGAGGACAATTTATTTAACTGGAACACTCAGCAGACAAGGCTTAAACTAGAAACAATTGAGTCTCTCTAACCTTGCAGTCTCATAAATTAACAGTTCTTATGTACTAATGACTTGGGAAAGGCAGATGTTGTATCCAGCTGTTAAATGTTGTTTTTAATGCTTCTTTTTTAATAGAGACAGTTAATTCCACGGTAAAGCCTAAAACCGTTTCAGGAAAAAAAATTCCTAATGTAGTCCTCAGATGAGTAATGAGCTATGATAAGTATGCAAGAGAAGCATGAACTAATTTTATAGCTAACTCTTAATACATTTTGGGGTGGAGGGAGACAATTGTCATCATTCCTTATGCCTTGGCAATCTGCAGTCTGGCTACAGGAATTGTCGCTCCATTCCCCGTTGAGCCAAGCTCCAGCACAGCAGTGGCAGGAGTTGTGTGTGTATGGGTGGGGAAGGAGGAAGGGCAGGTTAGGACTGCGGGAACCCATAGCTTTGCGTTCTTACGTCCCCTGGCAGAACTGAACATTGTGTGGTCCGTTGCAGATAATGCTTGTAAGGTGACAGAATATCCTTTTGCTGTCCCTTAGGTGTGTGTCTTGTCCTCAGTATGTTCATAAGGTCCATGCTTTTCCTGATGCTCCAGAGCTGTAGATGAGGGCCAGATCACTGGCAGCCCGGGACGCGTGCTGCTGCTGGGTGTGCAGCTCAGGGATGTCTGCCAGAGTCTGAGCCGAGGCTCCTGCCCTGCCTGACAGGTTTGCTAGAGCACGTGCCAGCACGGCGTGTCCTCTCGCAGCCTGCGCTGGGTCAGTCGCTGCGCTGGTGAGTTGGGTCATTGTCTTAACTGGAACGTTGGGAGCTAAAGTACTTGTGTGCCTTCCAGATCTTTGGGATTTTTGACACTCAGTTATGCCGCTTTCTCCCTCCATGTCAGAAGATATTTTTTTCCTATAATAATAAATTGTAACTTTAGAAGTTAAGGCTGAGATAGTAGAATAAACCCATCGACAACAGAGTGGTCAAATGGTAGCAAGTCTGAGTTTGTGATATACTTGGCAGTCCAAGTCTTGTTTCTAGATCTGTGGTTCAAAACCACAATATGCTTCTTGGAGGTCTCTGGAAGTTGTGTAGCCAGCTGAGGTGTAAGTTGTCTCCTTTCTAAACGAAAAGGGAGTTTAGAGGAAGAAGGGATGTGATTATTTTTTTTTTCTTAAACAGATTTTGCTGATCAGAAGGAACTCCATTGCTTGTCTGCTTTCAAATAAGGAAGAACAGAATCAGTACAAAAAAAGGTGAGATCCCTTGTCAAGAGTTTAGAGATAGCACATGTAGTACAGTCTTTTGTTCTTATGATACAGAGTTTAATCTTTAAAATGAGATATATTTTAGTATTGGAACCATATTCTCATGCAGATCAATGAGGGTGAAACAGACTGTGGCCAGTGATCAAGTGTAAGAATATTTGTATTTATTTGTGACTATTGTGGTAAGATCAGTGAGGTAGCTAACAATAAAACAATTGCTAAGCGCTTGGAGGAGTAGTGTTTTGTCAGCTGTTGCGTGTTGGTGAGACTTGGCGATTCAGAGGTGCCTGTATCATCTTGGGGGGAGGGTCTCCTAAACGTTTCCACTGCGCTAAACCGAGTCTGCTTATTTCCTTCTACAAATTGAAAGCATGGAAGTGCATTATACTGAACGACAATAGAATTGTTTGCTAAAAAAAAAAAAATATGCTTTTTTCACTTCGGCATTTGTATTCTTTGTATGTTACTAATAGACTGACAAAGGGGAAAAAAAAAAGCTACATACAAATCTTTGGTCTTAAGTTTAGCCTGGGACAGACTACAGTTACAGCATATTTTAAGTCTTTATTTCAGTACCTCTTAGTTTTGTAACTGTCTTTAAGTACACTTACAAACTTTGCCACTAATAAACACAAAGATATGTTTTTACATTGCATTCATCTCTTACGGTCTTCTTCACATCCTAGTGTCAGATCATACATTTGACATATTTTCATAATTCTCATGGCTTTTTTTTTAGTTTGTGCTTTCTTTGATAGTCCTCCTAACTGTGTCAGAAAGCAGACATAGAAATGGTTTATTTTTGGTCTGTATGGAACTTCTTGGGTGTTTGGAAAGATTATATGAGGGGTTTAGTGCTGCCTTCATTAGCTGTGATCCTTTTCTTGTTCAAATACGAGCTGGCAGAAGCAGTAAAATAATGTCAGATGTGTTTTATATTGTGTGTGAATTTGTGTAATTTGTTTTGTAATTACAATAAATACAAAAGCAAGGAAAAAAAACCAACTTTGTCATTAATGCACAGGAAAATAAAATAAAAAAAAAGTTTTATATTATGGGGAATGTTGGGAATGATGACATGTCAAATATTTATCCATCTTTTCCAGGCAAAGTGTTGTGTGAGTTAAGAAAACACTGCTAGAACAGCAGAAAACAGTCTTATCACATTATACATCTTACCATTCCTAACGGGAGGAAAAAAAATGTGCACTGCATTGCTTGAGGGTGTTGGGAGTAGGATGGAGACTAGTTCTGTTATGGGAACAATCATTTTGCCTTTCCTGTAACAGGTCAGTGTTTTTGCAGCTGCTTTTTCCCCCTGAATATACTGCACATATGTGGCTGTCCCTAGAAGCTTGATGGTTACCAGTAATGCAGTTCTGTATTTGTCTCTCCTGAGACAAGGTAGAGGAGGGCTGAGCAGAGAGGTTTCCTCTGCTGAGAAAGGACCTCTGAAAGATCCTCATGGATGACAACGCTCCACCGTGGCTTTGACTGGAGAAGTCTGTGTCTGTCCTCCTGAACAGAAGAAACTGGATTGTTCAGTGTTTGGAAATAGAAAATAACTGAGGTTGGATAATCAGCACCTTGATCATTAGGCCATGAAATTAATCCTTGTCTGTGCATTTACTGGTAACATGATTGAAATCACAAGGCAGCAGTTTCCTGTCACCAAATTCAGCATTGCTGCTGACTTTACATGTTCCTGGTAGTCTGAGGAGAGGAGTCTAGAAATGTTTTGCACCTAGTGATCGAGTTATCTGAGCTCTGCAAGAGATTTCTTCGGCTTACGTACAGGTACTTGCACAGCTGGCGTGAACAGCTATGGTCTTTGGGTCAGAGTCCCCCGGACGGGATTCATGGTCCTCCCATCGGGGTCAGTTGAAGTTTCTTGGCCTCTTCCTGAGGTGGAATCTTAGTCTGCAACTTGCTTCAAGAAATAAATGAAACAATACAAATGCAGCTGTGTGGAAACAAGAATGCAGCATGGTTCTCACAATAAATACGTTGGGTTGATTAATTTGTTTGACAGTTTCCTTGAACTTACGCCACTGACCAAAATAACGTTGCTGTTATCTGTTATCTGTTATTCATCAAGCTTATCTCGTGTCAGGCAGTTCGACTAACTTGCCTAAATAAAAATATTCTTGATGCATATGTTGCATTTAGAATTACTTTTGCAAACCATTTAGGAACAATGACCTGTTGACCAAGGAATAAGGTGAAAAATTCCTGTATGGTTTTACACCAAAAAAAAAGAGAAAAAGCCTGATAAAATGAAGTGGACGTTAATGAGTGATATCAAAAGCTTCAGGCAGACTTCTGAGCTACGCCTGCCCCATTTGCCAACTACTGTAAAAGATTCATGGATCTGCTTAAAAGGGTGTTTTATTCAACAAGTGATTTGTTTGTGCAGTGGTACACTTAAGTTAGAAAAACAGGCTTCTAAAGTGGTGTTATACTAAACATTACTGAATCATAGGTCTATGAAATATTTGCTTTGTGAATTTTTTCCTCAGTGACATTAATCTGGTTTTAAGCATGTGAAACTCCTGTGAAATTGCCACAATTTTATTTAATTTTGTTGAATAAAGTCTCGTATCAGGAGGGAACCAGGAGGCTGTGGATGCTTATTGGTCGTGATATTAACTTGCATTGAGCTTCAGTAAGAAAAATCTCTTAAGCAGTTATTAATTTCGAGCAAAAGAATCTTTGTGGTTGTCAGTGAAACTATTCTCCTGCTTTTTATGTTCAATACACCTTGAGTGATGTTTGCAAAGGGTTGTGTAATACCCAATTCCATACAGTTTTATGTATTTCCTTGTCACGTCATCTATAATTGGATATTAAAAATAGAATTTCTGATAGCAGGCTGGTAAACTTAAGCAAAGAAGTAATTGTCTAAGGACTGAGCAAACTGCTGTGAAAGTTAATGTTACAAGCTGGAAGATTGGAAAGTTTTTGTTTTTTTTTTTTTTTCTTTTGACTTCCCCAAATCCTCTGTATTGTGCTAAATCATGGTTCTCTCTTGATCCCAATAGTTTGTGTTAATTTTCTGGACCTTTATCTCTCTGCATCTGCAAAATGCAAGGGTAATTGTTTGAACTCTGGGAATTGGACAAAAGCAAAAGGAAAAGAAGCTGTAAATATGCATTGCCTGCCCAGGTTGGTTTAGAAATAGGGAAGTGAGACCAGTGATTTTTCTGCATGGTGTTGGGATGGTAAACATTAGTTAGGAGGTTCTGTCTCAAAACCAAACTTAATCTGGGCCATTCTTTCAATTCCTTGAAACTAAATTTGCCCATGTATTAAAAAGACTGTTTTGCTTGTTGATTCATCGTGGTTTGGAGATTGAGGCGAGATACTGAACCGATACAGAACTGTAAGGTTAGAAGTTGAATCACTACCCGAACAAGAACCGCCCCAGGTTCTGTCACCAGTATCTGTTCTTCCTTATGCCATGAACATCCATGCCAGAATCTGTTGCTCTGCTTTCCTTAACATATGGCAATCCAGTCCTTGTCTTGCATAAGTAAATCTTGTTTAACCTCGTTGGGGCTATGGCTATGCTGCTTGGGCTGTCTGGTCCTCTCTTAGAGGTACTGTTAATGTAGTGCTTCTCTTTAAGCTGAAGGACAGCTGTATTTCACAGAATCATCTAGGTTGGAAAGGACCCTGGAGATCATCTAATCCACCTGTTCTTCTAGCACAGTTCCCACCTACAGCAGATCCTTAAGCTCCAAATCGACCCTACTCCTGAACCCCTCCAGGGATGGGGACTCCACCACCTCCCTGGGCAGCCCATTCCAACGCCTAACAACCCCTTCTGGAAATAAATGCTTCCTAATATCTAGTCTGAACTTTCCCTCGTGCAACTTGAGGACATTCCCTCTTGTCCTGTCGCTTTCTACTAGGCTAAAGAGCCTCAAACCCAGCTGTCTGCAGCTTCCTTTCAGGGAGCTGTAGAGGGCGATGAGGTCTCCCCTCAGCCTCCTCTTCTCCAGACTAAACGATCCCAGTTCCCTCAGCCACGCCTCACAGGACATGTGTTCAGACCCTTGACCGTCTTTGTAGCCCTTCTCTGGACACGTTCCAGTAACTCTATGTCCTTTTTGTAGTGAGGGGCCCCAAACTGAACACAGGAATCAAGGTGTGGCCTCACCAGCACCAAGTACAGGGGCAAGATCCCTTCCCTGTCCCTTCTGGCCACGCTATTGCTGACACAAGCCAGGATGCCATTGGCCTTCTTGGCCCCCTGGGCACACTGCTGGCTCCTGTTCATCTGGCTGTCAATCAACACCCCCAGGTCCCTCTCTGACTGGCAAAATTTGTGACACTTGTGCTGCTTTTTGGTATTCAAACTGACTGTCACCATGACTGCCCTTCCCACAAAAGTTGCTCTCCTGCTGGCTCAAGAGCTGACAGGAAGAGTTGTGTCATGTTCTAGCAACAGACTCATAAATACTGTTATGCAAAGTAGTTTGAGCTGAAATCCACTAGATTTCAGCTAAATGAATGCTAAAATAAAAAGTAAAAAAAAAAAAATAATTCTGGTGATGTCAAAATCACAGCAACTCTCAGAGCTTAGATCTTACCTGGTTGAGTGCTGCAAATGTACTCATACATACAAAATGTGCATACAGAATGAGGTAAACATTTTTAATTGCCTTGTGGCAAAGGGAATTCAGAGAACTGACCTGTATGAAAGTACTTTGTAGAAAAGCCATTAATATGATAGAAATCTCTCTAAATATCCTCAAGATATAGGAGAGTTTTCTGCTATGACTGTTTTCCTTAAGAATACTGCTGCGTATTCATGGTGAAACTGTAGAAAAAGATTTACTTTACCTGTTCCTGAGATTCTAAATTTTAGGCTACTTCGGTAGTAATTGAAAAAGAATAAAAAAATCCCTAAAACTCCCTAAAAACCTGTTAATCTTTGATTGGAATAGAATGTTTCAGACAAACAGGGTACTGCTCAGCCATGC